CCTCCATAGAATGTGACGGCCAACCACCGGATCAATGACGCCCTTGCCAATGAGGATGGCCCCCAGGTTCTGACAGGCAGGTTTATGTACGGGCCCCTGGACATGGTCACCCTGACTGGGGAGAAGGTAAGGACATGGGTAGGGGGAACACAGGGGGACTTTGGAGAGCTCCCTGCTGCCCTCTGGCCAGAGTGCAAGGGGTGGGGAGGCCAGGACATGGCCAGCCCGTGACCAGCCTGCCGGGCCCAGGTGGATGTGCACATCATGACGCAGCCACCCTCGGGTGAGTGGCTCTACCTGGACACGCTGGTGACCAACAGCAGCGGGCGTGTCTCCTATACCATCCCTGAGTCGCACCGCCTGGGCGTGGGTGTCTATCCCATCAAGATGGTAGTCAGGTAAGTGCCTGCGCCGGGTGGGCGAGGTGGGCAGGACAGGGCTCTGGGTGGTTCTGATGAGTGTCCCCACTGTCTGCCAGGGGAGACCACACGTTTGCTGATAGCTACATCACTGTGCTGCCCAAGGGCACGGAGTTTGTGGTCTTCAGCATCGATGGCTCCTTTGCCGCCAGCGTGTCCATCATGGGCAGCGACCCCAAGGTGCGGGCCGGGGCCGTGGATGTGGTGCGGTGAGTGGCCTGGAGAGGCACAAAGGAGCTGTAGCAAGGTGGGTGGGCTCAGGGGCTCCCGCCAGCCAGGTGGAGGAGGACGGGGAAGCCTCTCTGGGAGATGCTTGGCTAGGGCACTGGGCCTTAAGGACCTCAGTTCAGAGCCCAGACCCCCAATTATTAGCCATGTCACCTTGGGCAAGTGATGTCACCTCTCAATGTTGGCTTTCAATTCCCTCATCTGGAAAGTGAGGCTGGTAAGCCAGAGACACCGTGGCAGGGGCATCTGCCACCCGGTGCGAGCACCCAAGGGCCTGCTATGGCACCATCATTGTCACCATTGTCGTTGTTACTGTCTGAGCTTAATCAGAGATGTGCTTTCCAATGGCCCAAGTGGGCCCTGGCTGGGCAGGAGATAGGGAGGCCCAGGAGGGAGGAAGGGGCGGCCGTGAGACATCCAGGCCTGCCCCTCATCTTCAGGCACTGGCAGGACCTGGGCTACCTCATCATCTACGTGACAGGACGGCCAGACATGCAGAAGCAGCGGGTGGTGGCGTGGTTGGCCCAGCACAACTTCCCCCATGGCGTGGTGTCCTTCTGTGATGGCCTGGTCCATGACCCGCTGCGGCACAAGGCCAACTTTTTGAAGCTACTCATCTCTGAGGTGGGGCCCAGGAGGATGGGGCCAGGGCAGGGGTGGGGGCAGAGGGGCCATGGTGCCTGTGCCCATGCCAGTCTCCCCACAGCTGCACCTGCGCGTGCACGCGGCCTACGGCTCCACCAAGGACGTGGCGGTCTACAGCGCCATCAGCCTGTCCCCCATGCAGATCTATATCGTGGGCCGGCCCACCAAGAAGCTGCAGCAGCAGTGCCAGGTGAGTGGCCACATCATGGGGGTGGGCGCAGGCGGGAAGCTAGGGAGCTCCAGCCCGTGACAGCCATCCTCACTGCCCCTGCAGTTCATCACAGATGGCTACGCCGCCCACCTGGCGCAGCTGAAGTACAGCCACCGGGCTCGGCCTGCCCGCAACACGGCCACCCGCATGGCGCTACGCAAGGGCAGCTTTGGCCTGCCCGGCCAGGGCGACTTCCTGCGCTCCCGGAACCACCTGCTCCGCACCATATCGGCCCAGCCCAGCGGGCCCAGCCACCGGCATGAGCGGACGCAGAGCCAGGCGGATGGCGAACAGCGGGGCCAGCGCAGCATGAGCGTGGCAGCTGGCTGCTGGGGCCGCGCCATGACTGGCCGCCTGGAGCCGGGGTCAGCCACGGGCCCCAAGTAGGGCACTATGAATGCAGCACGGGGTCTCCATGGTGCTAGGCCAGGGCGGCCAGCCCCGCCAGGAGGCCTGGCCTGGGCGCACACACAGACGTGGGCCTGGGAGCTTGTCCCAGGGCCTCACAGAGGACATGGGCCGTGCCACACAGTGCTCCCAGCCTTGCCTCACGTCCTCGGGTCTGACGGGTCCGGCTTGCTATGGAAGCTGGCAGGGACCACCAGCCAGCCCCAGGATGGCAGAGGGACCAGGAGTCCCCACTCAGACTGGCCTGGGAGGCTCTCCCAGACACTTCGTCCTGCGTGGATCTCCAAGTGTCCTGGTGCGAGGTGTGGGCCCAGGCCCAGCCTGCCACCTCCCCATCCACTGGCCACCCTTACTCCCAGGTCCCCTCACATTTGGTAGCAGCTCCAACAGGGGTCCAGCCTGCGTCTTGTTAACTCAAGTTTCTCAACTGTTCAACCTCACTGGTTTTGCACTGATTTTGAGAGCAGAGACCCATTACCACCTCCTATGGCTACAGACCCGTTGACATGCATGAAACTCAGTACCTGCTGACCCAGGACCTACAACCCCACTGAAGGCTCCAGTGCAGCAGAGCCTCGTGCAAGCAAGAGAGAAAAGCCGTATCTTAATTTCTGCTCCCCGGATGCTGCCCACCTGCCCCACCTGGAGCCCAGGCCAGTGTTGTTGCCAGCCTCAGGCTGCGGGCTGGACAGGCCTAGCCGCCTCTTCTGCTCCCTGCCGTCAGTCAAGGCCACCCACCCACATTTCTACACCTTTCTACTTCTCAATCTGATTTCTATGAGGTTTTTTTAAATGAGCAATCCTTGGCTGCTTCCTTTTCTTAACTCTTTCAGTACCGAGCACAGCCCCTCCACATTGAAAACACCCAGCACTGTGACGGAGTCCAGCCTGGTTCTGGGTCCCATGGGCCCTGCCCCTGCCCACTCAGCGAGGCATGGGCTCCTTGCCTCAACTGGCCCCTGGCAATCCCACTGAATTTCTACTCTGGAGTGGGTGGGGCACACACTTGGGTTTTTTTAACGCCAATTCCGTTTTGATGCCGAATCTAAGAAGCCACAACTTGCTTCGTCAGCTTCCGGGCAGGCAGCCACGACTTCATTTCTCACCTGAGCAAGGACCACACTGTCCTGCACGCTGGGTCTGACCGCCTGCCCTCTCCCCGCAGCACTGAGTGTGACCTCGGCTGTGGCACTCAACAGCCAGCTCCAGTGGCCCCTCTGCTGCTCCTCCACTTTCCCTGAGGTGGGAGAGCCTGCCTGGCCTCAGCCTTTGTCCAATGACCAGGGTCCGTCCCCAAGAAGCTGTGGCCCACCTGGGTCCAGCACTGGGCCACGTGGACGGGGCTGGGGAGGTGCACAGAGTGATGTAAACTTTTTCCCATGTGTAGATATGTACAGCCAAAGGGTCGTGTAAATGTTCTGCAAAAGTGGGTCTATACAGAGTGAAAGCTATTTATTTTGTGCAGAGAAAAATGTCTGGAGGGATGGAACCTTCAGGGTTTATTCATATTTAAGATGTAGCTTTTTGTTGTTGTATCAAGCATTATGTATAAAGCAACGATCATTTTATGGACCAAGATTTCATGTAACTGTCGCAGTGAAAGTGCAATATCTGACCCCCCCCCGAAGTTGCTTGGCCCGACAATCACAGCCCTGGTAAGGGGCCCTGTGGCCAGTGCCTCCTCCTCCTCTCTCAGCCCCACCTCACCCTGTCTTGCCTGCTGCCTCAGTGACCAGCCATCCAGAGAAGCACCTGGAAGAGTCTCCGGCCCTCCTGCAATAAAGGCCTGGAGGTCCTGTGGGCAGTGAGCTCAGCCTTTCCCCAGGGGGCAGCTCCCCCACAGCTCCTCGCTCCCTGCCTGCCTGCCCAGCCGCCAGCCATGCCAAGGACAACAGCAATAGTCCCCTGGGGCTCTCCCAGCGGCCCTCAGCCATAGATGGCAAGGTGGGCAGCCCGCCCCCCACAGGAAGTCTCTTCTGTATCCAGGTCTGCTTTCCGCCTCCCTTCAGATTCCTTTCGGCACATTCTCTTCTGGAGGAAGCACCAGTCTTTCCGAAACTAACAGAGGGCAGGCAACGTCCTTTAAAAATACCAAAAATGTTTACAGTGTTGGGTGCTGAGCTGCAGGGCTCAGGCCTGACCAGTCATAACCAAAGGGTGAGGCAGGCCTTGCTGACTGCCAGCCCCCAGGCCTGTTAGAATAGAAGCCTTAGTCCCACTCCCACCACACCCCCAGGCCTAAGCCTCGCTGCCACCCCAGGCCCCACCACCTGCCTTCTCTTTGATTTGTAAAGAGGGATTCAGCAGAGACCCCTACTCCCCCTGGCTCGGTTTGAGTCCTGCTGCCTGCCCCATCACAGCCTTCACGTCTCAACCACTCCCGTTGTCCGTGTGCTGTCTGTCTCTCTGGGCCATGTGTGAGCAGCGTCCTGACTCTCCCCACCTGCCCCTGCTGTCCCTGCATCATTGGGCCTGAGTGTGCTCTGTATACAGTGTCATGTCTGTTACACCAATTAAAGAAGCGGGAAGGCTTCCTTCTGGGTCTGTTTACTGAACTAGCGACCACACGGCATGGTGGGGTGGGAGCATACAACAGTAATGCCAGTGACCCCAACATATTCATGTGGGGCTGACTCTGGGCCTAGCCTGCTTCTAGCTCCTTCCTGCGCTTCAACTCAGTTTGCCCTCACAGACCCTCATGAAGTGGGTGCTGTGAACCTCCTTGCCTCAGTGGAGGACACAGCTGGGCAGAGGGAGCCAGGCCTCCCACACAGGCTACCCAGCCCCAGCACTTGTCTCTGTACTGTTGTGATCTGTGAACATGGCAGGGGGAGCCCTCTCTCTCCAAGCCTGAGTGCATCACATTTCAGAGCCAGCTCTCTGGGTTTGGGGTTCAGCTGGCATAGGGTCTGGTCCAGGTGCACTGAACTGAAGATGAGGAGAGCACAGGCCCTTGTGTGGCCTGTGCTTACTACAACCAGAGAACACCTCAGCTTTCCCCAAAAGCTCATGGAGCCCTTGTTTTTCCTTGTAAGTTAGGTACCACCCTTCCCTCCCCCTCAGTATAAAAAGCCACAGAACAGAGAAAGTTTCAAACCAGGAAGCCTTTAATAGCTGTGAAGCACTGGTCTTTCAGATGGTGCTAAGCAGGCCGTAACCCCATCCTCCACCCCCTGCCCCTAAGAAGAGGCTGGGCTGGGCCAGAGGCCAATCCATGGGGGAAAGGTCACCAGCACCCACTAGGCTTCCCATCGCCACCCTGAGGCCTGCCCAGGCTGGGCTGCCAGCACTGTCCACAGGCCTTGGCCAGCCGGGGCCCTCAGGGAAGCAACCCAGCTCGCATCTGGAAGGCCAGACCGTCCCCTCGGGTGGCTTGCTGGGGAAAAAAGCACATAGGAGGAGGGGGACATCACAAACAGAGCTGGGGGTGGAGGGCAGGCAGAGGGGCCACACCCACCTTGTTGATCTCTCTGTGTCGTTCTTTGGTTACGATTTCCTCTAGGACCTCGCCATCTCCCTTAATAAGCCTGAGGGTAGGAGGGTCTCCATTCAGCAAGGAATAGGCAGGTCCCCTAATGCCAGAGCAGCAGAACCAGAAACAGCTGGCATAGGGGTCCCAGGGTTCCCGCCTGCTCTATCATCCTTGGGCATGGATGAAAGCAGCCGAGGTGGGCTCTGTCTTGCCAGCCTCAGCCTGGCCAACAACAGCCATCTGAAGAGTGTTCTCCAGGCCCTTCCAGCCTCTGCAACTGTTTATTCTGGGCAACAGGGAAGAAGGGCTGAGACACACATCACACGTGTCTTTTTGCCAACACTTGGCTTTTTTCAAGCAGCAGCAACCCCGCCCCAGCCCCGCTCCTCCTGAGAGCACACATCTTAGGCCAACACTGCCAGACCCCGGGGTGTTAAGTCAGATCAAGGGCTCCCCACCTGGTGCGTCCCGTCTCAGGGTCCACCACCTTTCGGATGACACTCTGCCGGGCATCCCACTCCTCCTTGGTCATGGGCTTCATGGCCTGGATTCGGGACTTCTGCTCATCTGTCAGGACTGGAAGGGAAGATGGAGGTGGTGGTCAGGCCTCCAGGAGGGACCTTCTCCCTCTCAGGCTCTGGGCCGCACAGTACCTGGGCCATCCTCTTCCTCCCCAGCTGATCGGTGCCACTGGTCCAGTGAGGGACCCGGCAGAGCCTCCACCTGCTGTGCTTCCGCCTTCTCCTTGCCCTTCTTCTTCAGCTTCTTCCTCTTCTTCTTCTTCTTCCTCCTCCTCCTCTTGTCCCTGTGCTTCCCCCGCTTCTTCCGGCCACCACTGGAGGACGAGGAGGAGGACGAGGAGGAAGAAGAGCTAGAAGAACCGGAAGAAGAGGAGGAGCTGGATCGTGGTCTCCGGGCCTTGTGCTTGCTTCTCTCTGTGATGCAGGGAGAAGGTGAGGCTGGAAGGCTGGGAGGGGAAGAAGTAAACCTTCATCCCCTGCTCTGGCCTGGGTCAGGCCGTCTACAGGGTGAGCACCTCCTGCGGGGCTTTCCAGAGCAGAGATGGAGCTTCCCAGAGGAGTCCCTTCCCGGCTCCCGGGGCGCCCGGCCCAGCTGCACAGAGGCAAGACTGAGAGGCCACGACCCCGGCTAGCCCCGACTGGGAAGTGGCCACGCCTCCTCTCCCCAATGCCGGTGGTCCTCACCCTCCGCCCCAAGGGCCGCGCTGCCCTTGCAACCTTGGGATTCCGAGGCCGAGCAGTTCCTTGAGGTGTCCTTCCTGCTCTTCTTCTTTCTCTTTTCCGATCCCCGCCCCCGGGACCGGCTGCGACTCCTCGAGCGCTTGCGGGAGCCCACGTGAGCCATGGCGCTGCGGGCTGGCGATGGGAAGGACGCGCTTGAGCCAAGGCCCAGCAGGCCAGCCGCGGGCGGGCTCTAGCGGGGCCGGGGCCTCGCGACGCCGGGTACCCGTCACCACCCTGGGAAAATGCGCGACCCTCACTCACCCCCACCGCTGGGGACCCCGGCTTCTCCGCCGACTCCAGTTCCCTCAGCTGCGCCTATTAAGGGTCCGCCCCCACCCGGGCGCCCCACGCCTCCGCACCCGGCTCGGGGGCCCGTGGGAACTGGCCACTATCCGCCGCGAGTGGCGTCTGGGGCGCCTTCCCGCGCGCTCCTACCCTCTAGCCCTGCGTCCCACGTGGCCTCGCTGCCTGAAGGAGGCCCCCGAGGCTGCTCCACTCCCACCTCCGCCACCCTGCGGGGCCGTAGCGCCTGCCCTGCGTCTTCTAGAGAGGAAGCGGCGGCGAGAAGGCTTCCGGCCGGGGCGCTGCGCGGGAGGCTGTCCGGCCGGGAAGCGCGGCGCCACTGCCTTTCGTTCTGATGCCCCAGGTTCCCTTTCGGGCGCGCCCACCTCCTGCAGAGGTGAGCGTGGTCGCCGGCCCTCGGGCTCGGCAGCCCCTCACGTCTGTCTCTGCCGAAGCTTAGCCCGCTTCCAAGGCTGTCCTCTGGGCGCGCGCCCGCAGCACTCGGATCCCGGGTGCCATGGGAAGAAGTCGACCCTTGCGCGCGCCGCCCTCCTCCCGGCTGGTCCTGTCCTCTCCATCAAACTGCGAGCTCTGAGCTGAGGCGCCCTAGTCTTTCCGACGTACCCACCCAGTGATTCAGGGATAACAAACTCGTGTCCGTAGGGGCCAGAGAGATCTTGGCAGTGAGCCGCGGGCATGGACCACAGGCCCGTCCGGAGGGAAGCCGGGATTCCGCTCCATCTGATCCGTGCAACGTGGCATGGGGCCAGTGCCCCACCTTCCCAGGGAAACCAAACTCAAGACTGCAGTATGGAAGCCCCCTGGTTTTCAAATGTGCAACCCAAAGCGTCGCTGTGGCGTCATTCAATCTCGGGCCCCCAAGGTGTAATTCACAGTGACAGCTGAAACAAAGAGGGCTCTTTGCAAAGCACTTTATAAACGTCTGCGCATTTGACTCTCAGAACAGCTCTAGGAGGTAGGTGCTCTTCACATGAGGAAACCAAGGCACCAAAAGGTGAAGGCTCACCCAAAGCCACACAAAGTGTGGAAGTGGCATAAGCAGAATGGGAACCTGGGCAGCCTGGTTCCTGGCCCTGCCATTCACCCCTCTGCCATCTAGAAGATGCTACTGCTGGTCCACCCAAGTCCACTGAGGGTGCTGTCTCTGCTGCTGAGAATTCACAACTGTGCTGTCTGTGGAGGCTTCTCTTGGCCACTGGAAGCCACCCTGCCCTGGAGATAAGTGTCTGGGAAGTTACTCATCCCTCCCTCATCCAGGAGCCACTAACCAATGCTGTGGGTACACTGCAGAACTGTGGGCTCTGCCTGAAGCTCCCCGAGGGCCCAGCTGAGGCTGGACTTCCTCTGAAGCCACTTCCTTGCCCACCTGCTCCCTGCCCTCCCCTGCTTTCCTCACTCCCTTGCTGAAGCCTCATTCCAGACTCCGCTTCCAACAAACCTGAACTAAAGCAGCCTGTTTGCCCAGAGGATAACCCAGAATCTGGCACAGCCTTGGGCCAAGAAGTGCAGTAGGCTGCAGGGAGTTAATTTCTGCCACCAGCCCAAGGTGACGGAGCCCTCACCTGCCCTGCCACCCCCACACTGGGTCCAAGTAGGCTCAGGTGAGTGCACACACATCCACTGTGGCAGGCTCCTCTCGGGTGAAGCCATCACCGAAGCCCTCGTCGTCCACCAGATCAGGCTTACGGCAGCACATGGGACAGAGGCGGTTGCGCACAGAAGATGCGCGGAGCCAGATGACAAGGTTCCAGCGCTCACCAGTGGCCAAGGGCCGGGCCCCATGCAGCTGGCCGCCCCGGTGCAGGATGCCCTGGCCTACCACGTGCTCAACCTCCAGGGGCTCCGTCAGGGCTGTGGGTGCCTGCAGATGGCATGGCTCAGGCCTGGGCCCTCACAGCTGCCCCAGGCGCTGCCCCATGGGACACACACTCACCTGGAAGAAGCCCCCGAAATACAGGGTGCCCCCTGTGAAGACCTTGCCCAGGGCCACATTGAGAGTGAGCTCAGCATTATCATAGTGGCAGCCTAGCTCCAGATCCTGGCCCAGTGCGTATTTGACCACAAAAGCCCGGTGGCTGTCGAGCTGGCCCCCTCCACAGTCGGGGTACAGCAGGGCCATCAGCGGCTGCAGGAAGCGCTCCCGAAGTGGGGTCACCAGCGGCTCGTCCAGCCCAAGCTCGTGCAGCAGCACCTGGGAGGGGATTCCTGGGGTCAGGAAAACTGGGAGGCTGCAACCCTGGGGCTCCACTCTGCCTCAATCCCACTGTGACCTTATTTCGCAGCCTGGGCAGGCAGCCCATCTGCAGCACCTCCCACACTGCCTCCTGACTGCAGCTGCCCCTCCTCTGGCCCAGTGGCCAGGCCTTACCCACCCCATAGTTGTTCATGGTGTTGGGCCTCCCCTTGGGCATGTCAGACTGCTCGAAGTGCTCCAGCTCCTCCAGCAGGGCCTGGCAGAAGGGCGCTGAGAACACTGGCACCCGGTAGATGCGCTTCTCCTCTGTGGAAGGAGGGATGGTCTGTTGGCCTGAATGCTGCCATGGGCTGGCCAGGCCTGGGCCTCAGTCTTCCTGTGAGCCGTGTGAGTCTCGGTGTCTGTTCACTGCCTACAGCCTCAGTTTCATCACCTGTGCCATGGGGATGAGGCTCTCGCTTCTCAGGGTTGTTGTGATTACCAAAGGAAGTAAGGTGAGGAACAGGGGAGGCCAACTCCTGCGCTCCACACTCATGCCTGGAACCTCTCCCCAGACTCCACAAGTGTCCACAGGGCTGGCTCCCAGAGCACACAGATGGGTCCTGAGGCCCAGAGAGGGGAAGGCCAGTGAGAGCCAAGTTGGGGCCACAGAGCCAACTTCAGGCTCTCCTGTACTTCCTTTCACCTGATGAGCCACCAACATCTGTACGCCACTCAGAAGTGGCTCTGGGAACCTTTGTTCCCCAGCAGGAAGGCCAGGAGGGGCTGCTCTCTCTTGCTGGGCCCTGGGAGAAGAAGCCAGGCTGAGAATGGAAACTAAGTATTTCTTGGCAGATGCACCAATTCCCAGGGATGCAGGGTTAGTGTGCCCCCCACGGGGCCACCTCACAGCCTGGGCCCTGCACCAGCCAAACAGCCTCAGCAGTCTCAGCTGTCAGTGCGTAGAAGGCAATGAGGAGAGCACCCCTAGGCTGGGAGGGGGAGTTCATTCCACCCATGCCCCCAACAAAACACAGGCTCCATGAGGGGAAACTTCTGTCTGTCTCCCACAGGATCCCCTAGCCCGGGGTATCAGTGCTAGTAAGAATAGGAAACACTTTCCAAACACCACGTGTGGGTCCTGTGACAGGTACTCTACGCAGATTAACTCACTTGATCGTCACAGTGCCTTAAGAGAAGGGGTTACTGTTGCTCCTATTTTACAGATGAGGAAACTGAGTCACAGAGGTTAAACAACACGCAAGCCTCCCTTGCCCAGAATTTCTTGTTGGGTTTAGCCAATAGGGGAGCCCAGCAGAAAATCTGAAGGTAAGAGGAGAAATGGGACATTTCTTGCCCTCGCTGGAGTTTGGCATAGCTGTAGACCTCTGCCCAGAGCCACAGCTCCAGGTGGCAGCTGCTCCTTCCTGTTGCCAGCCCTGGGGGTGGGGCTTTGCCATTCCTTACTGGTCCCTTTAACTTGTGCATACCTGCCTCAGCGGTCCCTTCTTTAAGATCTTGGATCAGCCCTGTTTGAGTGTGCCAGCTCTCCTGCCCATGACACAAATACCCACTATTTGCTGGATGAGCACATGAAGGAAGGCGTGAAAGAAGGACGAAGACACCAGGCTCATAGCAGGTATTGAATGAATGAATGAATGAATGTGGATGTGCTTCTCCTGGCAGGTTGGTCCCACTGACCCTTTCAGCTGGTTCAGTTTTTGGAGGCAGAGATGGTGGCTGGAGAAACCCCAGTCTCCCACACCTAGGTTTTCTAGGCTACCATTCCCCAGTCCTGCCAGGTCTCGGGGTTAGGAACTCACCAGATACTGTCTCCAGACGCTGGAGAAGGCCCTTGAGGTCTGCGCCGGGGGATGCACTGTACTCAGCCACAGCCAGAAACTCAGGAGCCAGAGCTGCATCCTGGGGGCAGAACATACCAGCTGTGGGGCAGGCAGCCCGGCAGCCCTGGATGCTACCTCTTCCTTCCAGTACCTAGCCTTCAAGCACCCTGCCTGGCTGGTACCTGCAGTGAGTCGTACACCTCAGGCCGTGCCAGGCGGTAGGAACTTGCAATGAGGGCTTTCCTAGTGGCTGACTCCAGCCCCAGCCGCCGCCGCCGCTCCACCTCCTGCTCAAGCTGGGGTGGCACAGAGTTGTTATCAAGTGGGGCCTCCCATCCTCCTGAGGCCACTGTACAGATGAGGAAACGGAAGCCCAGGAATGCCAGACAGGGCCCAGCCTGGAAGCCAGGTCTAGCCTAAACTCCTGAATCTATCTGGGTTGACTGCAAGTTGCAGACTGTTAACTGAAGGGGACTTCTAGGAGACCCGTCCTGCTTCAGGCTGCCCCAACCTGAGCCTGGCTGGGATAAGAACCCCTGGGTGTACCTTAACCAGCTGGGCCCACACAGCGGAGGGAAACGGTCACGGCCAAGTTCTGTTCCCAAGGCTGCTGAGGACTCTGCTGGGAAGCTTCCCACCACTGACTCCAGGGAAAGGAGAAAGAGGGAGCAGAACAGCAGCCCTGGCACCAGTCTTCAGGGTACGTGGGAGTGTGAGGAGCCCAGGGGCCTGGAAGCCGTGGCTGGGATCGCATCTGCTCCTGCTGTAAAAGCTTGGGCAAGTGATCCCTCTTTAAGCCTCAGCTTCTCAATCCAAAATGAGGGTGGTGCCTGTGCTTATTTCAAAGAGCTCTTCGGAGGGGCATGACTAGGCAACTTAACATTTCCCCTTCTCTCCCGCTGCCAAGACCCAGGTGTGGAGGAGCGAGTGGGGACAGGAAGGAGGAAAGTGAGGGCCTAAGTGATCCTTCAGGGATCACGGACTGAGGCTAGAAGACCCTCAAGCTGCTAACAAATCTAACGAGGAAGTGCTGTGCAGGGGCAGCGGGCGGCACCTCTGCTAACAGCTGCTGGAAGTCCTTGGTGCTGACACAGCCTCGACTGCGCAGGATCTGGAAGCAGAAAGAACACTGAGCATGACTGTGTGAATAGGAAGCCCCTTCACTCTCTAAGCCTCAGTTTCCCCTGCTTAAAATGGGGGAGAGGATAAACTGCGGAACCTGCTTAAGCAGGGCAGGGCTCCGGGCTGGTATCGCTATGAGGCGGCGTGCTGAGCCCGGCCCTGTCCTAAGCACCCTTTCCTTCCTCACAACCTCACAGGGAAGTGAGAAAACTGAGGCACAGAGAGGCCGTCATTCTTGTATTTGAGCATGCGGTGCGCGCCGTGCGCAAAGCAAACGACCCTGGGGATGGACCTCCTTCCTCCACTGCTTCTCTGCCCACTGCTCGGGAGGGGCGACAGCGGCCACTCACCGGGCCGTAGTCCCGGCGCAGCTGCTGCTCGCCCCGAAAGCGCACGTGCAATCCATAGCGCGCCGCGTACAGGTTCTCCGTGTAGAAACAGGCGCAGCGGCAGAAGCGCCGCGGAGCCCCCGCCGTCGCCATAGCGAAGCGTCCGCGGCCCGGCTGGCTGCTTTAGGGGCACTTCCGGGCACGCCTCCAACCGCGGGAAGCGCGGAACCGGAGGCCAAGGGGCCGCTCTATGTTCCAAAGGGCGGAAAAGAACGAAGGCGCACCTCGCCAGGAAACAGTCTGCGGAGAGAGATGCTCCCGAGGCGGGGTGGGAGCGGCGGGCTCCTGGTTCAGCCTCCCAGTTTTCCCACCACGAGGCAGGGACTAATGGCCCCACTTTACAGACAGCTGAAATGGGTCACGCCTTCACAGGACGGGAAGAAGGAGGGACTCGGAACCCCAAGGTCTTTGACCTAAATGCCGGCCCCTCTTCTGCTCGGAGGTCGTGGAGAAGCAGCCTCCACGAGAAAAGCTGAGACAGTTTAAGGAGCTCAGAGGTCCCGCCGCTGCTTCAACCTTCCAGCCCTGTGCGTTTGAGTTTGGGTGTAGCATTTACCCCGGGTCCCTGCCTGACACTTCCGGTCCCTCCGCCACAGTCTCTTGGTTTACCTCAGATTGCCCCTTGGGTGTCTCCGCTAAAATGCCCCAACTCGCGCTACTTCCGGTGGTGGTCCCTTAGGACGCGGGTGGGCGGTGTCTCACTGCGGCCAACAAATGACAGCTCCTGCAGACCGAGCCTCCTCTCTCCCCGGAACTTTGCTCAAGGATAGACCACCCACCGTATCTCCTTGCATCCCAGCAGCGGCAAACCTTTGAGCTAGGTACTATTATATTTCCCCACCATGTTACAGATGGGGAAACTGAGACCCAGAGAGGTACAGGGACCCGCCGCAGGCCACACATCCACAAAGGGACAAATAATAGGGTTTGAACCGAACAGTCTGCCCTCTTGAGTTCCTCACCACGGGGCTCTGGGAGTGGTGGGATTATGTGCGATTTGGGGTTTTGTTGCGCTTGTTGGCATTTTCTCACTGACTCTTCTGGAATCCAGGTGGGCCTCCTGAAGCTACGAGGCTTCCCCAAGAAGGAGATTCACCTGTCATCGACCTCAGGGGCCAGCTCCCCAGCCCAGACTGCCCCTGAGAAGGTGTTTAAAGTTTTACAGTCGTCTTGATTGCCCAGTGATGGTGATTGGCCCTGCTATCTAGGAAAGGATCCATTTCCCAGCTCAATATTCACAATTGAGGACACCACAATTGCCCTTTTTCCCCAGGAGGCCCAGGGCAGGTTATTTAGCTCCCCATCCAGCCACCAGGCAAGCCTGGCACGTACATCACCCCACCCTCACCTGCTCTCCCTTTGCAGCAGTTTGCAAGATGAGCGTGTTCTGCTTATCAGTTTGTTTGTTTGTTTGTTTATTGAGATGGTGTTTCACCCAGCCTGGAGTACAGTGGCGAAATCTCACCTCAAGGCAACCTCTGTCTCCCGGGTTCAAGACATTCCCCTGCCTCAGCCTCCTGAGTAGCTGGGATTACAGGCATATGCCACCACACCCAGCTAATTTTTGTATTTTTAGTGGAGACTGGGTTTCTCCGTGTTGGCCAGGCTGGTCTAGAACTGAAACCACCGAGCCCAGCCTGCTTCTCAGTTTAGATTGGCCCCCCATGGACCCCCTCCTCCTTGCAGACATGCTAGGATCAGTCACCAAAGGGAGCAGCAGCAAGAAGAATATTTACCAGCAAGCACTGGATCAACGTGTGCTGCCAGTCAGCACTGATATATATCTTTGTTGACTGTTTAAGATACTATTATTCCATTTTACAGACAAGGAAACTGAGGCTCAGTGGTTACAGGAACCTATCTAGAGTCATAAACCTAGTGAGTAGGAGAACCAGAATTAGAATGCTCCAGAATTAAGAGTATCCTCATTCCAGAGTGGTATGTATATGCCACTGCACTTCAGCCTGGAGACAGAGTGAGACTGCCATCGCAAATGTAATAGTAATAATAAAACTTCTGTAAACATCTGTGAACAGGTGTTTCTATAGACAAATTCTCACTTCCTCTGGATAAATATCAAGGAGTGTGATTGCCTGACCATGTAGTAAGAGCAAACTGCCTTCCTGCTTAGCGGCACGGTTTTGCATTCCCAGCAGCAATGAATGAGAGTTCCCGTTCCACATCGTGGACAGCATTTGGTGTTGTCAGTGTTCCAGATTTCAGCTATTCTAGTATGAGTGTATTGACATCACATTGCTGTTTTAATTTGCAGTTCTTTGATGGCATGTGGCATGGAGTGTTTTTTCTTTCTTTCTTTCTTTTTTGAGACAGTGTCTCTATCACCCAGGAGTTCAGTGGTATGATCACAGCTCACTGCAGCCTCAACATCCCAGGTTCAAGCAGTCCTCCCACCTCAGCCTCAGCCTCCTGAATAGCTGGGACTACAGGCATGGGCCATCACACCCAGCTAATTTTTTTAACTTTTTGTAGCAACGGGGTCCCACTATGTTGCCCTGGCTGGGCTCAAGTGATCCTCCCACCTTGGCCTCCCAAAGTGCTGGGATTACAGGCATAAGCTACATTGCCTGGCCTTCTTTGTGTAATAATAGCTTTATTGAGATATACTTTACATACTGTACAATTCACCCAATTAAAGTGTACAATTAAACAGCTTTTAGTATATTCACAGAATTGTGCAACCGTCACCACAATCAACTTTTAGAACATTCCTCACCCAAAAGGACACCACATCCATTAGCAGTCACTCATACAAAATTTCTTAGTCCCAACTCACCAGAGCCAGTTTCTGTGACTAGGCTAGAGATGGAATGGGACCACTCAGGCCACTTGGTGCCACACAACAGGGGTGGAGGTGGAAAGGATGCTGGGAAGGCAGTGACCAGGGCCCCCTCACCTGTGCCCCACCTGTTTCACCCTCCCCTTGTCACAAGGCCGATAACCTCCTGCACTGCAGGAGGTTGCAACTTCTGACATTGCAACTTACCTTCCCTGCCTCACCAAGCTCTCATTCAAAGGTTGTTTCAAGTGCAGAGTGGGCCAGATATGTGAAAGGGATGCAGTGGCCAGGATTTGAGAAGCCTATCCTTGGCAGAGGTGACAAGCTATGCAAAGGTGCAGAGTGGCTGGGTGCAGTGGCTCATGCCTGTAATCCCAGCACTGTGGGAGGCCAAGGCAGGTGGATAACCAGAGGTCAGGAGTTCGAGACCAGCCTAGCCAACATGGTGAAACCCCATCTCTAGTAAAAGTACAAAACTCAGCCGGGCATGTTGGTGCACACTTGTAATCCCAGCTACTTGGGAGACAGATGGGAGGATTGCTTGAACCCGGGAGGTGGAGGCTGCAGTGAGTGGAGATTGCACCACTGCACTCCAGCCTGGGTGTCAGAGTGAGACTCTGTCTCAAAAAAAAAAAAAAGGTACAGAGGAATGAGAAACTGGTGAGCTCGCAAACTTGATAACTGGAAAGCAACGTCCATGTGAAAAAATGGCATGTGATGAGGCCAACTTGTTTCTGTCTGTTTCACATTTCTGATAACTCCTGTTGATTTTTGCTATACTATGCTAATAGGTACATAAAGGTTCAGTCATACCATCTCTCCTAAAAATAATCCCTGTTCTCCTTTACTGAAAGTTAATCATGTGCCAGGGGCTGCCTTCACTGGCTTTGTCACATTTTACCTTTACAATACCTGATACGGTTGGTATCTTTATTTCCCCATTTTTCTGAGGAGAAAATGGGCTCAGATAGGCAAAGTCACCTCTCTAAGGTCACACAGCTTAAATGACAGAGCCCAGCTCTGAGTGACTCCTGCTTTTTGGACAGTTCATCCAAGATATCCTCTTCAAGTACAATTAGAGATTTGCCTTTGTTTTTGCACAAACAGTAACATGGTTCAACTTCATTCTCTCCCTGGTTTTTACTCAATACATTTAGGAGGTCATTCCATGCCTTTATATAACTCTGTCTTCTTCTTTTTTTTTTTTTTTTTTTTTCCTGCTAGAGAGTATTCTGTTGAACAGGTATTCTCTAATTATTTGGTCAGTTCCCTATGGAAGGATATTTAGGTTATTTCCAGATTTTTGCTACTGTAGTAACTACCTTTAAGCTCGGACCTTAGCTTCCCTGCAGAAGTCTATCTGTAGAGGAAATTCCTTCCAGGCTAAAAAAAACAGAGTGTTGTAAGTTCTGAACAAATTCCTCTCCAAAGGAGCTGTCCCACTAAGTAGCAGAGGACTCGTTTTCAATTCAGAGAGTACTCTAAAAAACCTCTGTTTGGGGCTGGGCACATGTGACTCACACCTGTGATCCCAGCACTTTGAAATGGAGGAGGGTAGATCACTTGAGGTCAGGAGTTTGAGACCAGCCTGGCCAACATGGCAAAACCCTGTCTCTACTAAAAATACAAAAATTAGCTAGGTGTGGTGGTGGCCACCTGTAATCTCAGCTACTCAGGAGGCTGAGGCAGGAGAATCGCTTGAAGCTGGGAGATGGAGACTGCAGTGAGCTGTGAACTACAGTTCTCATCCTGGGCTACAGAATGAGACCCTGTCTCAGAAAAAAAAAAAAAAGCCTCTGATCGATCCAGGGATGTGAGCAGTTCTTGCCCCACCTGCTGCCCCTCTGGGTCCCACCCACTTCCCATGACTCAGGCCACATGGACCGTTTTCTGGTCCACAGGTGGCCAAGTTGGTTCCCACCTCAGAGCCTTTGAACTTGCAGGCCTTAGTGTCCTCGGATGTTCTTCCCCCAGATGGCCCCATGGCTCATGCCTTCTCACCTTTCACTTACACAGTTTTATTTAAATTTTATAGCTCTCAGTCCTTGAATGGTCTTATGCACTTACTTGCTGATGTTCTTCTGTCCCCTTCATGCCATGAAGGCTGGGAGTTTTCTGTCTTTTCACACACTGCTGTGTTCCCAGCACCTGGTAGTCACTGAGGACATATCACTGCCTCGCCTCTCTAATGCCCCGGTTCCCCAATCCTGCTCTAATTTTCTCTGTAAAATATATTCCCTTCCAATATATCTGATTTGCTTATATGTGTTGTCTGACCACCCTCACTGGAATGTCAGCTCCAGAAGGGCAGGGATCTTGTTTTGTTAATTGTTTAATCTTGAATGCTTAAAAGGGCGTATGGCACACCGTAGGCACTGGATACCTATTTGTTGGGTGAATGAATGAAAGAATTAGTGAATGAGGCCCGGCGCGGTGGCTCACACCTGTAATCCCAGCACTTTGGGAGGCCAAGGCGGGCGAATCACCTGAGGTCAGGAGTTCGAGACCAGCCCGGCCAACATGGCGAAACCCCATCTCTATTAAAAATTCAAAAATTAGCCAAGCGTGGTGGTGCGCACCTGTAATCCCAGCTACTTGGGAGGCTGAGGCAGGAGAATCGCTTGAACCCAGGAGGCAGAGGCTTCAGTGAACCGAGATCGTGCCACTGCACTCCAGCCTGGGAGACAGAAAAAGACTCCGTCTCAAAAAATAAA